CATTCGTTTTGTTTTGTTTTGTTTTTCGTTTTTTTTTTTTTCCGTTTTTTTCATTCGTTTCAATCGAACGTCCGGGATGCCTGTGCCCGGTAGTCCGAGCCTCGGCACGGATCGGTGTACCGGTCGGCCGAGGCTCGGACTCGATAGCTGGGCCAGGTACAGATGGTTTAATGGGAAACTGTCAGAGGAATTACCTCTGTCCCGGTCCCTACGACAGGGCTGCCCCCTGGCCCCATTACTCTTTGTACTCCAGCTTGAGGTTCTACTGGACAACATTAGGCTTAACGATAGGATTAAGGGCCTAAGGGTGTCCCCCACTCTTCATTGGAAAGGGGGGCCCTTAGCAGATGACCTTACACTGGCATGTGAAAATTCAGTATCTACAATGAATGAGGCAAAGAACGTGTTGGACAAGTACTGTGCGCTGTCAGAGGCTTCCATAAATTGGGATAAGTCTGTGTTTTTCCTCCCCCCCAAGTTTGCTCTTTGTGTGGATTGGGGTCCACGGCAAATTCCGACTGGGAACTCTGATCGCTTCCTGGGAGTACAGATTTCCGTTTCTGATTGTGCAGGAACTCAAGACAATCTACTGGTGGAAAAGATCTCAGCAAGAATTGCAGGGTGGATCAGATCCCATAAGCTCTCCCTGTTTGGTCGCGCAGTGATCCTGTCATCAGCAGCGTTTTCACTGCTTTGGTTTCCTCTAACAGTTCATTATCTTGCAGACGAGGCTTACAAGAAGATTAGAAGCTTGGCTGCCAGGTATTTGTGGAAACCCAAAGGAGTGGAAACGAAAAATTTCAGTCAAAAGTCGCATGGGAAGCAGTAACCCAGCCTAGGGAGGAAGGGGAACTGGGGATACTAGACCCACATCAACAGAACATAGCACTTCTAAGTAAGTGGGTGATTATGACACTGTTCGAAGGGGAAGACAAGCTATGGGTCAAGTTTGCAGAGTATATTCTTGGTGAGGAATGGGCTCTGACCTCTGAATCAGATGTATGGAGAATGATCATGTTAGGTGCCTACGCCAGTAAAAAGCCCAAGTCTAAAGTTTGGTCAGCTATCCTTGCTGCTTGGAAACAGATACGACCAGCCCTGCTCAGACAACCAGAGACTCGAATAGAGATGTTGCAATGTCAATTGTCATCTCTGACAGTTAATGTCAATTGCCATTCCCAGCCCTGCTCGAGTTATTTGGATGGAAGGGGATCTCAAACACAAAGAGCTTTCCTTTGTACAGGTACAAACCAAGGACAGGGGTATCAGTCCAAAGGCAGAAGGCGAAAAAGAAACCTAATGAGATGGCGCAGAAAAGGTTTCAAAAACAATTGGGATTACAAGATAAACAGCCGGATTTCAATGCAATCTGGAGAGCCTTGAAAAAATTGCTGTCTCAAAGACATGTAGGCATAATGTGGTTACATGCTATGCAGGCCACCCCATCCGCCGTTTGGTTGGAGGGCAAGGGAATGGCAATTAACATTAACTGTCAGAGATGTGATTGGGGCTGGGAAACCAGCACTCACCTTTGGTTACATTGTCCCCTGTCAGGGGAGCTCTGGCTTTGGTGGAGGCATCATTGGCATAATACAGAAGGTGCTCACTGGGAATGGTCTGATGAATGGATTTTACACGCCATCCCGTCACAAAAACCTAACTTTACCACTGGATGGGGGTATGTGGCCTTTGTCTGTAGGGGCGCAATAATGAGTGTTTTGTGGAAAGCTCGTAATGCGAAGGTTTTCAAGGATGAGAAGATGCCTCTGCAACAGCAGACAGGTCTAGTGAAGGAACAGATTCGATTGGCCATCCGTTCGGATTGGCAGGCCACAAAGAACAGTAGATCAAGATTCTGCCACACATGGGCTAAGGACAATATATGGGCCTCTGTTTCGTCTGAGGGACGGTTGGTGCTCTCCAAGTGGCTGCAGCGGAGTGACTTGATAGGTCGTGCTTAGACCGAGATGTATTAAACAGGACTGGTCGCTTGATAGACCAAGGAAACTGGCTGTGGACAGTTTGTGTGGAATGATGAATTTAGTACAGCCCTTCGAGATTTTGCCTCAACGTATGATCTTTTATAAGAGATGGATATAGCCTGTATGTATGGTGGATCACTAGACTTTTTCTTACTACAGCCCCTTTTTTTAGAGCTTCAAGGCTTTTTTGGGAAGATAGGTACAAAGATAGAGAGCAGACACAGGAAGCTGGACCCGGTTTCCAGTTCTGGTTCTGTGACTACTCCGGGTTGAATTGTGAGGTCCCCGGCCTCAAAATTCCTTTTTGGAAATAATGAGGACTTCTCAAAAAAAAAAAAAAAAAAAAAAAAAAAAAAAAAAAAGAGTGCTACAGGCCCGGTGGGGATTGAACCCACGACCTCCTGAATGAAGGAAGAATGTAGCGTAGTTAAAAAAAAATAAAAAAGATGTGCAGTCTGGTCTCTATCAAGGAGTCTGATGCGCCAAAACAGAGACAAATGGCCACACCAGGTTGTACTCGCCAGACTTAGCTAGAAGGTAGTGATATACATCCGGGCCCGTTCATGATGGCTGATGCATGTGGCCACGTTCTGCGCGAACTTGAAGATGCGCACGCCATTTCTCAGGTCTGATGAGGAGGCGGCGAGTCCGCAAGCGGGCAACTTTTTTTTTTTTTTTTTTTTTTTTTAACAAACAGATACTTTATTTCAAAACAAATCGGAGCCGGGACCCCACAATTCCACCCGGAGTTATCCTGGCAGCATCAGCCAGTTTAGCTTGAGGAGTAGGCTAGTCTAGGCACAGAAATGACCAAATCTAGTCCGCTGTCCTGAAGCCACTCCTGAACAAACCAAAAAGGCCAGCAACTATCCTACCCACCGAAAGATACCAAGTCCACCTCAACTAACCTCTACCAATGTCAACCAAACATTTGACTTCCACTACTGCCTACAACTGTCTAAAGCGACAGATAGACCCTTAAACCACCAGTACTTGGGCACTGCGCGCCGTGCCGGCCGCCCAAATCTCAAAGCAGGGCGGGCTGTCGATTCGATTTATCGACGGTCCGCCGGCTGCGGAAATCGCGTAGCGTTAACGCTAAGGCGTCGCCCAAGTACTGGTGGTTAAACAGGGACTACAGCTACCTATTGGTGTACTCCCCCCACAATCAGGTGCCGCCCTGCCTTCCTCCTGAGGATGAATAGAACCGAGTACCAGGTTCCTACTCTAGCCATGCTGGCCAATCTATCTCCTATACACACTTCTACTCAAGCCAAAACCACTTATTCAAGACCAAGGCATCTCCTGATAGCTCTACTAACTTGCCTTCTATTCCCCAAGTATCCCCAAACCATGAACACTGTGATCCTTTTCCTCTTCTTCTCCAATCTGCGTGAATGAGGCGAGGATCTGAACATTTTCCTGGTTTCTTTATTAGTCATGTCCCTCCCCTCGAAGACTCGCATATTCCTCCCTTTCCAGATTACTTCACATCCTACAGCTCTGGCTGCCTGAGCAATGTAGGCCCAACCCTTTTCCAGATTCAAGTTCGCCGGGACGCCTCCCAAGAGAGTCCATTCTCTATCCCATATCAGATTGTTCCCAGCGATACTCACCCAAAAGCTTTGCCACCAATCTCAAATTCTTTTGGCCGCGCGGCAGTCGTACCACACAAGCCGGCAACTCAGTCCTTCGGGACATGCGTTAAAATTGGAACGATACAGAGAAAATTATCATGGCCCCTGCCCAAGGATGACACACTTTTTTTTTTTTTTTTTTTTTTTTTTGGGAGACACACATAAATCGAGAAATGGTCCAAATCCAGCGGCCTAGCTCAGTTGGTAAGGCACGCAAGTGGCATTCAGGAGGTCTTGGGTTCAATCCCCATTGGCCTCATGTACCTTCCTGGGCATGCTTGGCGCCCGCCACCTAGAGATAGCCCGTTGGTCCCCCCAATTGGCATTAAAAAGCAGTCTCTGCTGATGTTCATAGGGATAGGGTACTCAGGGAGGCACAGCGACTGGCCACTCAGATGATGCTCGGTCCCTCTGCTACCGGCTGTCCCCTGGCCGGTGCCCCCCAGTGGGGGATCCCTGAAGGCTATCAGGCCACCCTGGGCTGAAAAGGCCACCGTTGTCAGATTAGACACAAGATTGAATTTACCTGGGCTGGTTAGTCCGATGATAATACCTCAAGGCCATCGCCCTTTTAAAGAAAAAGAAAAAGAAATGGTCCAAATTTAAAAAAAAAGAAAAAAAAAAGCGGGCAACTCACGCCACGATTCTGGCGGGCGCATATGGACTACAATACGTCCACGTTCAGGGGGAAGAAGAGTCCTCGTGCGACCGAGCCCGGGGGCGAGGTCCCACTTGCACGAATTAAGAGATACTGACCGTAGATAGCAAAGATCAACGGCCGAAATATTCTCATTTGCGCAAGTGGGACCTTGCCCCCGAGAAGAAACGCACCACGGCAAGGTGCTGGATTCTGGCGGGTGTCTATGAGCTTCATTGCGTCCAGATTCAGGGGAAAGGAGTCCTCGCGCGGCCAAACCTGCGAAGGCAAGAGCCACGGCGAGAGGCTCCTGCAGGAAACCGCTCAACTTGCCAGGAGAACGACCTATGGCCTCGCTCGACCAGTCTCCACATGCACAAACGACAAGAACTATGGTGGTGTATCTGTCCATCGGCTAGGGGAGGATTCGGTCTCATTTTGCACATTCGGAGAGTAGTGGAGCGAGGCCCAGCACGCGTGAGAAAGAAGGGAAGTACGCGTCAGACAGAAGGGAACAGTACGCGTCCACGCCCGAATAGAACGCACGCACGGTCATCCTCGCTGTGCAGTATAGACCCATCGCTCGTTTTCACATTTTGGTATAGACTTGACCCCCCTGCAAGAACAGCAGCAATTGGGTCGCTCGCTGCATGGATTCATATGCTGATACATGAAATGAATGAAGATTCGAGACTACCCAAAGAAGATGCTGCCCAAGAATAAACGTCCCGTTTCAACAGAGCGCGCGAGGAACAGGGGTGAGGAGGAGGACGAACAGCAGCAACGGTGGCGGTAGGTGTGTGGAATTGCGCGCCAAGCAGAGTTTTATAGCCGGTATTTTTTTTTATTTTTTTTTTAATAGCCGGTAATTCACCGTTGGCCTCCCTTGTTATGCTCTTCGTCGTCCTCGTCTTCTTATATCTCCCCCTCCCCCCCCCCCCCCCCCCCCCCCCCCCCCCCCCCCCCCCTTTCTCTCTTTTTCTCTCTCTCTCTCTCTCTCTCTCTCTCTCTCTCTCTCTCTCTCTCTCTCTCTCTCTCTTTTTGTGTCGGCTGCGGCCTGGGCCTGGGCGGCGATCACCGC